GTCCCACCTGAATGGTGAGACTCTTCTTGGGCGCCAGCCCCAGGGGGTGACCCGTCCGTAAGAGCCTACACAAAGGTAATAGCCATTAGATCAAAATAGAAATGGAAAAAGGATGAAAACAGGGGAATCAGCAGCTCACGTTGACGCCCTCGACCGGCGGAAGCGTTTTGGGGACGGATCCCCAGATCCCTGCCCCGACTCATCTGGGCGGGACCGTTTCAAGCCTGCCCCCTGCTCCGGGGCAAGGGGGCTCACCTCGTGGGGCGCGGCACCAGAGCCGCTCCCCTCCATCGTCTCATGGGGCGCGGCACCAGAGCCCCTCCCCTCCCCCGTCTCATGGGGCGTGGCACCAGAGCCATTCCTCTCCACCATCACCTCGGGGTCGGCAGCGGTAGGCCCACTTTCCTCCATCCACCGGTCCTCAGCCGGCACGCCATGCGAAGCAGCGGACCTGCCGGCCTCCACCGACCTCACCGATTCACTTCCCTCCGCGTGGAACGGGAAGGGTCCCTGCACGGACAGGTGGCCACTTGTCAGCGTGTCCTCGTCCTCCAGGACGTCCCAATCCACGCCGATGGCTACCTCATCGTCATCGTCGTCGTCGTCATCGTCACTGCTCATGTCCTCTCCTCGATCCCGTGCCTCCTGCTTTTGTCGTTTCGCCCTCTTCATCTGCTCCCTTGCTTTCTTGTCCCGCTCGGCCGTGAGTCGATTCGCCGCCGCCACGGCCTTGTCCTTCGGCAGCAGAACCAGACTATCTTTGAAGACTAGCCCCCTCGGCTGGTCCCAACGTCACAAAAGCAAGTGTTAAAAAATGGAGATTTAGGAAAAAGAAAAGAGCACGGGAGAAGAGGGCTTACGAATTCGAGGAACCCAGGTTCTGGCCGCATTGGGGGATGTCCGGGCACCGGATACACAATGTCGAGGACGTTGCCTTGGGAGTCCTTCATCGGCTCCATCACTTCCTTAATGCGTTGTGCCACTTCTGAAAAGGGGAGTGCCTCGTCAACAAGCACCGTCCCCTCGAACGACATTCCGGGCATCATCTGATGCAGGGGAAGCACGCGCGCCATCAGCGGCGCCACCCTCCTCGCATGATAGGCGCCGATAATCCCCGTCCCCTTTATGCCCTGATCCTTCAGGGCCTGAAGGGCGGAAAGAAGGTCAGAGAGGTGTTTCTTGTCTTTGAACTGGACGCCCCAGCTCCATGACTCCGGAGCCTCTTCAATAAGGCGTCCGGTGTACCTCGGTAGGGTGGCACTCACATCATCCCTAACATAAAACCACTGCGAGTGCCATCCCTTGTTGGATGTCGCCAGACGCATGTATGGGTAACCCCTCGACCGGGTATGGCGTAGATGAATGCTGGCACATCCCATTGGCGCGTTCACATCTTTCCCTCCAATCTTCCTCTTCGACAAACTAATGGTAAAGAAATACCGCCATAGATCAAAATGGGGATCGATCCCCAGGAAACCCTCGCACAGGGCAACAAACGCCGCCATATGTTGAACCCCGTTGGGAATTAGATGCTGCAGCTCCACCTCATAATAATCCAGCAGCCCCCGAAGGAATCTATGTGCGGGTACCGCAAATCCCCGCTCATGGAAGATGGCGAAAGAAACGACATACCCTTCGGGTGGCACCGGCTCACCCTCGTCGCCAGGTAGCAGCCACTCCTAGACGACGGACAGCGGGCGGAGAAGGCCATGGTGGACGAGGCCCTCCAAACGCCGTGGGGTGATGCTAGATCTGCCCCACAACTCCATCAAAGCAATTAGGGAGAAAGGTGGGCGCGAGCTCGATGGCGGCTACGGGGCAGGCGCAAGCTTGATGGCGGCTGCAACACGGATGCAAGCCAGCTGACGGTGGCGGCGCGGGCACAGGAGGCTGGGGCGATTGGCGGTGGATGTTTCAAGACGCAAAGGCAAGGGAGCAAAATACGGAACCTTGGGGGCGAACCCCATGGTTTTATAGGGGCGACGGATGCGAGAAGGGCAACCGTCCGCCTCGATCTCCGGGCCTGCCACGCGCACCGCCGCGTCACGGCACGGGACACGCGCCCGCAGCCCCTATCCTTTCCCACCAAAAGTTGCGGTGGATGGTTCGTCTTCCCTAGGTGAATCCGGACTCTCTACCCATCTGGGAAACGTAGGTCGCGAAGATCTTTCTCTCTTTGGCCCACCTAGGGCCCAGAAGCTCGGCGACCGGCCCAACTGGGGACGGGTCCGCGAACGATCCGAAATCAAGGGCGCAACCATTACTAAGGTCTCGATCCACGGTCAAGCCCCGGCTAGGTCAGCCCTGAATGAGATCCCCGCGAATGGGATACCACGACCCCCTCGAAAAATATCCAGTTGACGAAAAACTAAGTCCTTCAGCCTTACCCGCGAAGGGTCCGAAAACACCCTCCAGGCGGTTCTATCCGAATCACCTGGAGGCTCGGGGGCTACTATCGGGGACCTAATACCAGGGTACCCTAGAAGGTGGAACCAATAACTACCGAACGATAAAAACTTCTGGACGGATAAGGGCGCCGTAGCGTTCCTTGCTCGAACGACAGGAGTTTGGTTCCGCCTCGCCCGACGCCTTTGGGGTAGCTCTTCCTCGCCTGAGGGATCAGGGCTAGTCTTCGTCTCGCCCGACACCTTTGGGGCGGGCACGGTCTCGCCCGAGGGCTCAGGACTAGTCTCCGACTCACCCGACGCCTATAGGGCGGGCTCAGTCTCGCCCGAGTGCTGAAGGATAGACTTCGCCTCGCCCGACCCTAGAGGGGCGGGGTCGGTCTCGCCCAAGAGATAGGGATTGGTCTCCGTTTCACCCGACGGCCAGGAACGAGCCTCGCCCTGCTCGATATCTAAAGACTAGTTTCATCTTACCTGACAACTCCACCCATTCCCTCATAAATGATGGGTACAGGGCAAGATAAGACGTTCGGGTCAACCATGGCTCCAAGGACCATACCCTGCACCCTGGCAGGAAAAGTACTGCCGAGGAACGACGTGACAGGTGCTTTAGACCCTTTCGGGCGCCGTAGAGCCCGAAAAGTGTTATAGGTGCGTGCTCTTCGCCCTGTAGAGTTGTAGGCGCCGCCTTCAACTCTGGGACACGGAACCCAACAAAGATATACGACAATCGCTATGCTCCAGAAAAGGATTTGCTATCTCCACAGACGACGGGTATTCCGTCACCACGCTATGGACCCAGGGGAGCGGTGCCCGCTTCTCGACCCCCAGGTCCACCAGGACAGAAGACCTTGGCCACGGCGCTACTCTAGACCCCGACCCCGCGTCCCTCCGACGAAGACTCATAGGAACCAGAAGGCGTGCGGAGCAAGGATGGGGGAGGCTCATAAGTCAAAACAACTGTACTGCGGCCCATACCCTGCGCAGGGTAGCATTCTGTAACCAACCTGACATTCTACAGAGACATCGACAGTATTGTAGGCGCTTATCTTCCTTCGCACTCATTAGAATGAAGAACCAGGCCGGGTAGACGTGAGCCACAAGACTAAGTAGAGTACGCATCCTAAAGCCCTCACCCTTGTAAAAGTCAGCCCCTTCCTCTATAAAAGGGGATGTGCTTCCTCCATCAAAGGAGGACGGCGGATCGAACAACAAAAGACACACACACACAGTCAAGCGGCTACCAAGCTCTTGACCTCCTTTCAACCCTTCCATTAGAGACTTGGGACCAGTCCCTCTCTCGATCGTTTGTACCCCCTACTACGAACCGTTCACGGTGCTAATAACACGAGCAGCAACAAACTGGACGTAGGGACATTCGGCCCGAACCAGTATAAATCTTGTGTCCTTTAGCGCACCATCCGAGCCTAACGCGCATTACTATAAATTTACTTGCCACACCCCTGTACGAAACACCGACAGTATGTCAAGCACATCTTGGAGCTGGTAGGCATGGAGAGCCGCAACTAGGCACACAAACCAATGGAGAGGCTCAAGTTGAGCTTGGAGTGCAAGGCTAAGGAGGTGGATGCGACAAACTACCAGCGGATCATCAGGAGACTCCACTATGTCATCCATACATGGCAGGACGCATTCACCATCGGGTTTGCATGTTGTTTCATGGAAAACCCCACATAGGAGCACCTGCAGGCGGTGAAGCACATTCTGCAGGTCCTTCGATCTCGGTCTGTGCTATGGGCGGTGGACCAGAGTGACATGACTAGCCGGCTACTGCGACTACGATTTGGCCAGCCACATCGACATGAGGAAGAGCACCAGTGCCATCCTATTCTTCCTTGACGACTGCTTGATCAGTCAACTAATCAATCAAGCAGTGTGTGGTGGCTCTGTCTTCATGTGAAGCATAGTATGTTGCACCACTGCATCTGCAACTTAAGCAATCTTGATGTCCTGAGGTAGTGGATTTCAAGGTGTACATCAAGTCTGCCTTGGCACTTGCAAGGAACCTAGTCTTCCATGAGAGAAGAAAGCATATTGATCTACATTGTCACCTCATCAGGGACTGCGTGGAAGAAGGAAGCACTAGTGCCAGCTACATCACTGGTGACCAATTTGCTGGCATACTAACCAAGTCACTTGGGTGATTCAAGTTCCAAGAATTGTGTGCAAGGATTGGACTGGTTAAGATTAGTCCCAAGGGATTACACGGAGAATTGATAGATGTGTAATCACCGTGTTCATCATCCTCACTAGGATTAGTAGCAGTTGCTGTCATATAGGTCACTCCTTTTCTCTTTTGAATGATAGTTATGAGTGCAACAACAATAGAGTAGTTATGTAATTGGTAGATGTAGTAAATTGTAGAGTAGATGGGCACCATGCCTGCTTAATAGCTCAGAAATTCTAGTGTGTATGTGTTTCCTTCCTCATCCATTGCCAACAAAAAAAAACATAGATCAAGGCTCATGGGTTACTAGTACACCCAAAATTTTCATTCACACTGGTAGAAATTTGTTGTTGAGTCCTGTACCTCCTTTTAGTCCTACTGTTACATGATTTCTTTAACATTTTCAGGTCAATGATGAAAACCTTGTTGTAAAAAGCTCTGATGGGACTATCATTCAGTCACAACTAGTTGAGGTTGATAATGTGACAAGAAATTTAAGGGAAGTTTATGTAAAAGCTTATCTTGGAATCACAACAAACAAACCACCAATGTATTGGTTACTTTTTCAAGCTTCTGTGCCGCCTATGGGGTGGAATTCTTACTACATTTCGAGATCCACAGGTATATGTAAATAATTATCTCATTTAAAAATCTAAATTGAACTACAACATTATTGCATTCCTAGTTAATTGTCATTTCCACGTTTGAGTCATAATGTTGTTCCATAAATAGGGTGAGCAGCATTCTTTTTTTGGGGGGTTGCTAAATTGCATAGGAGGATATGACAGACCAAATGAAAACAATAAGCCAGCTTCCCTGGTCATATATCCTCACTATTTTCTTTATGATGTGAAGAAATGGCATATGACATGTTTCAAAATTAGCTTCACTAGTGAATATTAAACATCAATGGATATATCAAAAGATTGTATGGCGGTTATTTTGACCAACATTTGCTTTAGTCACATGCAAATACAGTATGGTTAGGCATAATAGTAATATTCATTATTAGTGTCAAGGGCGTCGGGTTTGAGGGTAGCTGGTGGCTACGGAGTTCGTAGTCTCAGTCGATAATGGCGTGGGGTTATTCCTCTGATCGCCCTATGATGAAGGGGATGAGATTAGGAAGAAGAAGAGGTAGATTGGGAAGTAATCTGTTATTACTTGAATCTGATAACCACGATTACAGTACGTAGATAAATAGGTTCTTTCCTCTAACAACCATAGAAGGAAACTACTAAAATTAAGGCGTAGATTGGTCGTGCTAACAATCCAGCCGCGTCCCTGCATCAGTCGCGGTGATCGCGCACGCTACGGCGCTGATGGCGTGGTTTGTGTGGCTCTTGACGCGTCTCTGGCGTAGGGCCAGCGTGTGTAGTGGCGCCTAAATCTTTGCTTCCATAATCAAAACATGACTCGGAACAATTCATCCAATGCTTGCAAGCTGGCATTATAGCCCAGCAACGCACACTGGTGAGCACCGACTCGCCCGGGTTTCAATGCAAGCTAGCGCACGTACGCATGCATGCCGTCCACTTCTCCACGAGCCACGAACTCGAGTATTGAGAGACGTCTGCGCCACCACGCGTAGCATCCCCAAGAAGAGGTCTTCCGTGCCACGCAGCCACACGCCTCTGCATGCTGCTGTTGGACTCAACCGACTAATGCAATCCTAACAATGCAGTCTAATGACTCCGGCCACAACGTGAGCTCATCATGTGTCCAGCCACAACTAAGCCAAACACGTTAACACATAACGTGACTAGCATCTATACTATATGCAAGACTCAAAACTAATTTAAGTCATGATTATTTCCAACATTGCCTCCCCTAACCTTGACTTGCGTACTCAACGCTTCATCACAGAAGGGTTGGCTCGTCATCGGCCGTCGCAAGCAGCGCCTCTTCCTGCTTCTACTTGGGACATTCATGAGAGAAATGCCCACGCTTGGCACAGCTGTAGCACTTGCCTTTTTTGTTCTTTGACTTGCGCTTGCTGTTCTCAGAGTAGTGCTGCTGCTCCTGTCGTCATCGTGACCATCCTTGCCGCCGCCGCGCTTGTCGCTGCCTTCGCCCGAGCGCTCCTTACTGCGACATTGACGTCGACGTCGACGTGCCTCCCATTGCTCCTCCGTGAGCAGCAGACGCCCAACATCATCCTCGACCGCCTTAGACGCTGCCGCAGCGCTCCTCCGCCACAAGCAGCCTGCCGACGAGCTCCTCCAGCGACATGGTCTTCAAGTCGGCGAACATCTCGATGGAGCACGCGATCTGGTTGAGCCTCGACGGCACAACCCGCAGCATCTTCTTCACGACACGCTCATCCTCCATCACCTCCACCAACTCGCGCAGCTCCGCGGCGAGGGAGCCAATCCTCACAGTGAAGTCGTCGATCGTCTCGCCGTCCTTGAATGCCGTGTTCTCGAATTGCTTGAGGAGGTGTTGCACCTTGGCTTCCTTCACGCGCGTGTCTCCGCAGCGACTTGACCGCCGCCACCCAAGCATCCTTGACGGTCTTCTTCACGGCGAGCCCAGACTTCATCTCTGGTGGCACACCACGCAGGATAACGGAAGGCAAGTGCTACAGCTGCGGCAAGCGTGGGCATTTCTCTCATGAATGTCCCAAGAAGAAGCAGGAAGAGGCCCTGCTTGCGACGGCCGATGACGAGCCGCCCCTTCTGTGATGAAGTGTTGAGTGCACAAGTCAAGATTACCGGGGATGGAAATAATGACTTAAATTAGTTTTGAGTCTTGCATATAGTATAGATGCTAGTCACGTTATGTACGTGTTTGGCTTAGTTGTCGCCGGAGTCATTAGATTGCATGTAGTTTGTTAGGATTGCATTAGACGATTGAGTCCAACAGCAGTATGCAGAGGCGTGTGGCCGCGTGGCACGGAGGACCGCTTCTTGGGGATGCTACGCGTGGTGGCGCGGACGTCTCTCAATACTCGAGTTCGTGGCTTCGGGAGAAGTGGACGGCGTGCATGCGTCTGTGCGCTAGCTTGCATTGAGACCTGGGCGAGTCGTTGCTCGCCGGTGTGCTTGCTGGGCTATAAAGCTGGCTTGTAAGCATTGGATGAATTGTTCCGAGTCATGTTTTGATTATAGAAGCCAAGATATAGGCGTTTGGCGCCGCCGCGTTCGTCGCCGGCATATCTATCTTGCATGCTGTTCATTTTTTTTTTAGGAAAATAGGAGGGTGCAAGCCCCTACTGTGCTTTTTATTATAAATGCTAAAAGCTTATACAACAGAGTTTCATGAAACATAAAAGCTTACAAAGAAAATCAAGAAGATTACACATATGCATCTAGCCATAGACTAATATTGGGTACATATGAACTCTTTGCTCTAAGGATAACCTGAGCAAAATCAATTCTGAAGTGATGTCGAGCATGGGAAATTGTGGGCTGAATATTTCTGAAGATTGCATCGTTTTGCATGCTGTTCATCATGTAGCTCCATCCAGCATGAGCTAGAGTGACTCGGTTCCAATAGAGAGACGGGCTAGCTGAAGAAGGCTACGGGGTGCTTGTCCTGAATGAGCACCGCCCCAAACCCATGGTAGGAAGCATCACACTCCATGAGGAAGGGTTGATCAAAGTCGGAGAGGATCAAGACCAGGGCCATCGTGATCGCTGTCTTCAATACCTGGAAGGCTTCTATGGCAGCGCTAGTCCACATGAAGCCGTCATTGCGAAGGAGAGCCACGAGAGGCGCCACGATTGTGCCATAGTCCCTCACGAACTTGCGGTAATATCCTGCCAAACCGAGGAACCCCCGGACCGCGCACACCGAGTGGGGCTGTGGCTAGTCGCGCACCTCCTAGACCTTGCGGGGTCCATAGCCATGCCCTTTGCCGAAATTATGTGCCCCAGGTATGCGATGGAGTCGATGCCGAAGGCACACACTGATCGCTTGACGAAGAGGTGGTGCTGCTCGAGGGTGCTGAGGACGGCGCGGAGGTGATCCGCCCACGAGTCGCTGAAGATTAGGATGTCATTGAAGAAGACGAGAACGAACTGGTGGAGGAACAGCCGCATGACGTCATTCACGAGCGCCTGGAAGGTAGCTGGCGCGTTGCACAGGGCAAATGGCATGACGAGGAACTTGTAGAGATCATCGTGAGTCCGGAACGATGTCTTGTCCACATCGGCGGGGTTCATGCACACCTGGTGATAGCCTGAGTGGAGATCGAGCTTCGTGAACAACTTGGCGCCATGCAGCTCATCGAGGTGCTTGTCGACAACAGGGATGGGAAAAGCGTCCTTCACCGTTATGGCATTGAGGGCCCTTTAGTCTATGCAGAAACGCCAGGAGCCGTCGGCCATCTTGACCACCAGTGAGGAGAAGGCAGACGAGCTGCGGCAGATTAGCCCCTAGGTCAGCATGGTGGCACACTGGTGCTCCAGCTCATCCTTGTGGGTTGCCGGGTAATGGTAGGGCCTGATGGCGACAGGCTGCTTGCCTTGGACCAGGGTGATATTGTGGTCGCGAGAGCACGACGGTGGTCGGCCGTGGGGCTCGTCGAAGACGTTGGAGAACTGGGCGAGTAGTGCCTCCAGGAGGTTGTCGCTAGTGCAGACTTGCAGGGCTGGGCTGGGTGGACCCGTGACGCCAGGACAGCTTATGCGGTGATCTCGGCACCAGAATGACATGGTGAGGGCGCCGAAATCCCACATAATAGGCCCCGGCGAGGCGAGCCATTATTGGGTCCCCAGCACATGTCATAGCCGGTGAGAAGAAGAGCGAACAGGTCCGCTTGGAAGTCTTCGCCGGCGATGGAGAAGGGTGTCTAGCAGAACACGCCTAGGCAGGGAACACGCTTGCCGTTGGCCATGGTTGCCTTCATGTTGCCCGGCATTCCAGCTATAGGTTGGTGCTGCGTCCAGACTCCTCAGAGATGAAGTTATGCGTCGATCCCAAGTTGAGGAGCGTGATCACGGTGGCACTGCCCAGCTGAATGTGCACCTGCATTGTCTCGCTGGTGCGGACGCCAGAAATAGCGTGCAGCGAGATCCGAGGATCGGGCTCGGTTGACTCGGTGTCGTCCCCATCATTTGCGGCGGCCTGGTCGAGGAGGAAGATGTGCTGGCAGACGCGATTGTGTCTATGCTCGAACTTTTCTTTACAGTTGAAGCAGAGGCCAGCCATGAATATGTGCACCCCGTTGCGCCTCCATCAACGTGCCCGCCCGAGGAAGGAGGGCGTCAAAGTGGTGCCCGGGGGCTTGGTACCCGACGAGGATATGTCGGAGCGGCGCTCCTGCTTGAGCTCATCGACCGAAGCTTTCAGGGTCTAGATGGTCTCAGCCATGGACTTGATGAGGGCCTCGAGATCAGCTAGTGCCGGCCCTGACATGGCGGACGTCACAGAGGCAGCGGCGATGGTGGCGAGTCAGGGGCAGCGGGCGACGGTGTGGATGCGGTGGGGTTTAGCGGTGGGGTGGATGACGAGGACCGCCTGGAACATGATACCAGGTTGTCAAGGGTGTCGGGATTGAGGGTAGCTGGACCTCGGCTAAGGAATTCGTAGTCTCGGTCGGTAATAGCGCGGGGTTGTTCCCCTGAACACCCTACGGTGAAGGGGGTGAGATTGTGAAGAATAAGAGGTAGACTGGGAAGTAATCTGTTATTGCTTGAATCTGATCACCATGATTACAGCAGATAAATAGGTTCTTTCCTCTAACAACCATAGAAGCAAACTACTAAAATTAAGGTCTAGATTGGCCGTGCTAACAGCCCAGCCGCGTTCCTGCATCAGGCACGGTGATCGTGCACGCTATGGCGCTGCAGGCGCGCGGTTTGCGCAGCTCTGGTCGCGTCTCTGGCCCGGGGCCAGCGTGTGTAGTGGCGCCCCCACATGACAGTTATTAGGCCATTCAAAAATACCCTATTAATTTATCAGTTTCATCAAGTTTCTTATGTTTAATTTAACTTGATAGTTTTCCTACAATCTATCTAGGATACAGCAGCACTGGCTATGTTTCAACCATGGTTTCTCCAAGGAATGACACGGTTGAAGTTGGACCAGGGTCTCTTAAACTTTCCTTTTCATCAGCATCTGGACAACTGAAGAGAATATTCAATTCTGTCTCAGGAGTGAGTCTTATATGACAAATCTGTTTTACAAATGAGTGATCTACAAATTTTTATTCTTTTGTTAAAATGAGTTGATAGAAATGTATTTCACATTAGATCTGAGATAATTAAATTGAAAATTGTCATTTTAAAATACATATTAAAATACATATCTGTAACATAGGATTGGACAAACCACCTTTGAGATAATTAAAATATACTAATAGTGTTTTCATGAAGAAAATATGCATACCTACTGTTTTTCATGTCAAGTATATGATTGCTCTCACGAAATAATTTTGGACAAAAGATCACCATGCTTTGAGATTACCTTTCCCTTTTTATTTTAGATGTATATATAACGCGTGTCTAAAGTGTTGCAATTTTTCGGAGCCCTAACCTACCATGTGAGTTGACTAATACGGAGTAATACTGATATATCCAAATTTGTGTACGTAATTGGCTTCAGGTGGATCTACCAATTCAACAAAGCTTTTTTTGGTATAGTTCAAATGAAGGTGACATCGTGGATTCACAGGTTTGACTAAGGAACTGAGATTTTTCTCAGTTGGAGAAAATCTGGCCAGTAAATATTTGATGGTTATGATGTATATATGTTTATTAATTTAATGGTTTGTACTAGGGATCTGGAGCATATATATTTAGACCCAATGGTACTACACCAACTATTGTATCATCATCGGTAATACCCTGCAGTTTTTCTTTATTTATTTCTAATTCATAATTCCGTTATCTCTTATTTTTTATATTTTGTAACAGTAATGTATGTATTAAAGGTGACTTTATTTGTTAGTATTTCCCCATAATAATATTTCACAAACAAGAGTTGTTGGTGTAATATTTTTTTGGTTGCATTTGAACGCCAAGGACTTGAAAAATATACGGACTGAAATGGCATAGTGTTCTTTTTCAAAATCTTTTCAACTGTTCTATGAAACTATGGCATGTATGTTGAATTCATCAACTGAATTCAAAAAGGTATATTCCCCTCTATTATCATTCTTTAATACAGTTGATTCCTTACGGTCCGGCAGATGTAGTTTTGTACATCTCATACCCTTGTAATACTGGAATCAGAATGGTAAATTCTAGTTTTTGAACAAAAATTCCTTTGAAACGTATTTTCAGACTCTGACTTGAATATTTCATTTCATGCAATCTATAAATGTTATATATAGAAGAGGGCATAGGTTAACATAGTGTAATATTCTGGTAATATTCATAGAAATAGTGGTATCTTTACTCTCGAATAGCTCTTGTAGATCAAAGAGAGGGGCCCCCAAGTTCTTCTGTGTCATGGCTGTTTTAAAAATAACTATGGACTGTGCACTAGCTAGTAATTAAGAACTTCATGTGCAGTTTCTCTTTCAGTGGGTCGATCATTTTAATTTCCTTTTAGGTGCTGCTCAGCGTTATCAATGGACCTCTGGTTCATGAAGTTCATCAACAATTCGGTCCTTGGATTTATCAGGTAAGATTTAAAATTTACTCCATTCTAGGACCCATCACAGTTAAATATAATAAATATTACGTGATTAGTGGAGCCTAAAATATGAGCATTTCATTGATCTCTCTTCATTAAATAGATTACTCGACTCTACAAGAACAAGGAGCATGCAGAAGTTGAATACACGGTTAGTGACTACTTTCAACTTTGGAAAATATGTTTCCATAAGATTTATGTTTATGGAGAATATGCTATTTCAGCTATGCTCGCATGTATAAGGAAAACTATTATCCAAAACTGAACTAACAATTTTTGTTCCAAAATTTGCAAAAGATTGGGCCCATCCCTATTGATGATGATGTCGGGAAGGAGATCATCACCAGGATGACAACAGACATGGTTACAAACAGTACATTTTATACGGACTCTAATGGAAGAGATTTTCTCAAAAGGGTAACAATCAATCTAGGTTTCCATTGGATATTTGATATGATTAATTTGTTTGATTATTGCTACTTCTTTCAATATCATACATGTGTATAGTATATTGTAAGGCTAGTTTTAGTGGGAGTTTCATGAGAGTTTTCATGGACATTAAATAAGCTGACATGACATAATAAAGATGAAGAGAGATCATAAAAGTTTTATGGGATAAAATGAGTTTCATGGAGACAAAACTTGTCTATACTGTTTCCAACCCATGGAAGTCTTGTAAAGTGAGACATCACTAAGACTGGCCTAATAGACCACTACTCTAAATCCAGCAATCATTGTCTGTTTGAAACGCAGCATCACTGCCAGAAATGGGTCTGACAGAGGACAATGGGCAGTGATCCAATTCTCGACCCAAAAGAGAGAGTATCGTATCACTATCGGTTCAAAGAATAGACCCAGTAGTAATAGAATTAGGGTTCACTACTGTTTCAGTGGCTTCAAATGGCAGTGACCTTCTTTTTCCTATTTTCTATATACTTCATTATTACATTTAAATAGAGGTTTCTGTCTAAAGTTTTTACATTCGATATTACTGATGCCATCATATTTCTCACAAGATTCGATAATGAATACATCATAATTACAAGACCATATATACATACTTAATAGGTAGAGATGAAGTTATTACAAACCAAAGTCTCATTACTACAAAACAATTGGAGCACACCCACCCACTACTACTACTACTAGTTGTTATGTGCCACATATTCAGTATAGTCAACATCCCCAATTCTATAACCGAGCATGTCATTTAAGTACATCAATGCATGAATTAAGCACTCTCTTTGTCTTCACATGTCTGAACATATGGTCTACAAAGATTAAATAAACTGGAGGCATTGCAAATGGGCTAGAATGCAAAGCAAAATGCATATGACCTTGCAATCCATGTGAGGTGGACCTTGAACCTGCATAGTACCATCACTAACCAAGTTGCTCCACTGCTTCACTTAGAAAGGCATGGAAGCTACACAAAACATATGTCCAATCATGATACGAAATCTGTAAGTGGTGTCAACAAATAGAATATGTGAACCATGAATACAAAGATAACATATATAAACATTATGAGCACCACTTTCACTATACCATATCATTCTGGTTGTTTTGAGCAATCCCTTCACTAGTGGCTACCACATTGCCATCATCTAAAACTTGTCGCCTTCTCGCGAAGGTACGTCGCGTGGCTGCGGGGACTCTAGTTCGGCGGAGTGAGCTTGGGGGCATCGACGACGGGGTTGTCGCCATCGACATGGAAGCACTCAAGGGACGGAGAGTAGTAATCGATGTCATCGGAGTCGTACTCCGGGCCATTCCCCGAGAGGATCTCGAGGAAGGTGTGCAAGGAGGGGACGTCGGTCCCCGCTGTGCCGGAGAGGATGGCACCTCCCGGCGGACAAGGTGCTCCAGCTCCAGTTGGAAGGACGCCACCGCATTTTGGATCCCGAACGGTAGGTCCGGGAGGTAGTACTAGAAGCACTCAGGCGGTGGGAGCACCTCGCTGGTGGCAATTTGGTAGTGGATGTTGGTCAACATGTAGAACATCTGGCATCGCTCCAACACGGTGGGGTTCGGGCCTAGGCCATGCCAGATCTATTGGGCGAGGACCTCGAGATCCGCTCCCAAGGGGCCCGGTGGAAGAGACAGTGCCAAGGACTCATTGTCCACTGGCGCAACCTCCTTGAGCGGGTGAAGCTCACCGTAGCAGTCAGCGATGTAGGCCAAACTCCTGAAATTGAGGACCCAGCCCGGGGTGATGGCGCCGGCTATGATGAAGAACTCACTGGGGAGGCGGACGCCGTCGTCTAGGGCAACGCCGCCTCCTCCGGCAACGAGGCAAGTGGCTCTGGCCACCGTAGAGCCTGAATCACACTTGACACGCTCCTGTACCTAGCGCGCTAGCTATCGCAGGGTAGATACCGCGACAAACATTGTTGTTCATCGGATGTCACTAAGTGTGGGTTTCTGGAGGCTTGGGTGGACTCAAGAACATAGAGAACACAGAGAGGACACTACGATTCATCCTGGTTCAAGCTATCGGGACCGAACGTCCAGCAGTGGATGTTCCTTGTATTCGAGATCACCCAAAACACGGGGTTACAATAGAGTGTAAGAGATTTGGAAGGAGATCGCTCGGTGCTCTCCTATGCTCATCGACGGTGAGGTTTCTTCCTTATCAAAGGGAAGAAGATGATGGTGGGGAGGAGCTCTCAGTACTCGTCTCGGGGTGGCTCTGCTCTCGGTGTAGAGCTCTGAGTTTTGTGAGGACTCTGTTCAATTAGGTTGTTTGCCCTCTGTTCGTCCTCCCCCTCTGTAGGATTCGTCCTCCTTATATACCGAGGTAGGTTGGGTACATGGTGGTTTGGGGGGTTTATTATATGGTCTACATGCGCCAGAGTCCTAGAGAGCGCTGGTGCGGTGTGGATGGACCTCCGCGTTGTCGTGGACTCGGAAAAGCCTTGGGCGTCATCCGGCTGCTCTGCTCTGATGCTCTGACCATCAGGCCTTGTCGGCTTGGACTGGTCACCACTAAGTGCGCCTTATGGAGGCTTCCTTGGTGGTGAAGGCGTCCGACTTGATGGATTAACGAGCAGGACCGGAAACCCCCGGGCCCCTGAATCCGGCGGACGGATTTGTCCCCTTGTGTCATGCCCCATGCGTGACTTTGTGGGAAGAGTGGATGACAACGCTGCACCTGTTGGGTAGTGCCGAGGAGCCCTCGAGCCTTGGGGCAGTGGGTTCCAGCCTAGCCCTTGGCTTGTGCTAGAGCCGAAGCCAAGGATCAGGCTCAGGCTACCATTGATTGGGAGCGTAGGGCTCGGGTGAGCCCCTGATGCCCGAGTAGAGACCGAGGGCATGCTCAGGTTCCGCTCAATCCTTGGCCGGAAGGTGTGTGCAAGCGCACTTGATGAGTGTAGCCCCCAAGCGATCCTAGAGGGATCGGTCGAGGGTCCTTTGGTTGAGAACCTCTTACCCCGGGACTTAACATATCCCTATGTTTTTTTCTCGTCGCCGGCTATAGTGAAGCATGATATGGAGAGTAGAATAGACATTCTTACATTCTTCCTCCTAATGATCCCTAGCAAGGAGCCCTCCATCTCTAGTGTAGGAGCAAGTGTATTTTGAAGGTGTTAGAAGAAAGTTTGTGAAGACAAGGCCACACCAAAGCTTGGACACCCTAGGAGCAATGCTAGCTTGATCTGGTAGCATTGCTGCCAGCACGCCCCGGCTTCCGCATGGCTTCATCTTTATGAACTTTCTTCTAGTATCTCTCATGCACCATTTTGACTACGAATGGAAGGTTTTCTCCCACATAGAGCACATATTGAGACTACAAATGGTGATACAAATGAGCTTGTGTCATGTGGCAGAACCGCCTAAAATAACTCACTTCCGAAGGTGCTTGTCTTCCATTAGACACTAAACACCCCTAGAGTGAGCTAATTTAACAGTTCCGTTGAGCACACCCCATGGGAGAACCCGAAAATCCACATGTTTCAACAGGATCATAAATGGGAGAATAAAGCTTACAACATTTTTAGCCATTTCTTACATCACTTTCCATGCAACATCAGAGTATAATATTTATTGTTTATAACAGCGAAATATAACCATGTTATCAGAGTTTCAGCAGAAATAAAATCATTTAATGACAAGTTAAACATTAACATAATGATCCGTTATATAGATCATAACAGGTTATAAGTTTTTCTATTGTAAAACATTTTGGGTGGAAGTTTCAAATAAACTCTATGTCCACAACGTTAAGGAAATCCTCGCTGAGCCCACCAAGAGGTTGTGGAGCCACAAACCAACGGTGATATATCACTGTAGGGTTGTGGCTCCAGTCGGTAATGTTAGAGGGCTTCACTACTGGGTCAATAGGATCCCCAATGTTGTATGGATCCTAGGATTACGACCTGGTAGTGAAGCAAATCATTGCCACACCTGGCAATGATGGTTCAACAATTATTGTCCGTTATGTAATGGATGACTACTGAACCTTCTCATTGCTAAATGTCTCCAATTATTTTTCTTAAACGCACAAGAGAGATGTGTATCATTTCATTAAAATAGAAGAGAGTATACAAGAGGGACTAAGTTCCCCAAAACACACCCAAAACTCACACTACCCCACCACACTACAAATAGAGAAAAGCTAGAAACATAAGGCCCTATTCAAGAATCAGGAGACCATCAATCTACTAAGGTCCAAGGTATTATCCCACAGCAAACGACCTAACCAGCAGCTCCTGGAGTGCTTTAGATCTAGTGGAGCACCATAATTAAGATGGATTCATTTATGATAGCCTGCAGCGCAGCCATAATTAAGGCTAGTCTCTGTGAGAGTTTCTAAGCTGCCACATATATAGGCACTTTTGATGATATGGTAACGTTTTTAAGAAGAGAGAAGAAATGAGTTTCATGGGGATGAAACTCTCTTGGCACGATTACCAACTCTCTATGAGTTATGAAATTAAATGCCTATGAAACTATAGAACAAAACTCCCCATTGAGAGTGGATGTTTCATCCACGTTTCATTTTATTTCGTATGACATGGCAGTCTTGGAAACAACACTATGAAACCCTGCATGAGTAAGGGCCTAACACTCAGACTTGTGCCATTAAAGACGCAATCATTCAAATCTTTCCATATATCCCAAGCCACTAGAATGAAATGTCTCTCATTATTACATTTCCTTTTATCATGTTCCTTATTGGTCCAGCCCTCAGTCCCATTAGTGTAATTCCGTGGGGGTGGGCTTTCCCCCATGGGTCAACTTTCTTTTAAAACTGTGAGCCTTTCTAAATTGAGTATGCTAGAGTTTTAAAAGTTTGCATAGTCTCCTTTTACATACACATTTAGATTGGATTTCATTTGCAGGTTAGGAACTATAGGGAAGATTGGGATCTTGAAGTGACAGAACCAGTTGCAGGAAATTACTACCCGGTAATCACAACATTCACATTTTTCTAAGTGAACCATATTCAGGCTGTTAGACACGATATGGAATTTCAGTTTATAGCATGCTATCTATATGATTTTTCCATGTGTAGAAGTATTTTTGTATCATGCAACAATGTATCCAAAATGAAAATGGGATTGATCAGAAATATTAATAATATAGTAGAATTCTACTTTTATTACTAGATTATGACTTTATAGTATATTTCTTGCACATCAACTTTTCAGGTCAATCTAGGTGCATATGTAGCCGATGGAAAATATGAGCTATCTGTACTTGTGGACCGTGCTGTTGGAGCATCAAGTATTCAGGATGGTCAGCTAGAGATTATGCTACACAGGTACTAGCTGAGGTCACTTGAGTTAGTTCTAGGTTTATTGGTCCTCTAAAAGAAATAGCTCCATGATCTTGTAAAATCTGGATAGTTCGTAGAGGATCAATCTTGGTCATGATCTAGACCCCTGCTCTTGTAAAAGTTTAACACCAGGCATGGTTTTAGAGAGATTCTAAGAATGGGTCTAGTCCTCCAAGAGAGAGAATAAAGAGGAGAAGGAACTAAGTCTTTTGTCGAAATAATTCTATTTTTTATTCCTCAACTCTAATACCATCTAAATCTAGCACTCCAACAATTAGTGACAATTGAGTTTGACCATTGGTCACATGTTTTGTTGTTTTGGAGTGAAATGGCAGTGTTTTCTCCTCCAAGTTTTTAGATTTTTTTTGCCAATATGGCTGACCTTGTATTATCTTTTTACTATATTTCCATGGCTAGCCACTTTTGCTTTTCCATGGAATAAAGAAAGAGCAATAGAGAGAGTGATGGCAGTGTTTGGAATGTAGGAATTATACAAGAATTTCACAGGAATCAGTTCATTCTTGTAGGAAAAGCCTACACATCACTTGAAAACCACGAATACAAGTTGAGGGTCAAAATTGAGCAATATTGGTAGATGAGGTATTATATTTAGACAGGGGTGATGGGTAGACATTTTTTTTAGCAGATGGTGGGTAGACATTAGAGAAGTAGGAGAGTTGAATGGTCAAAATAGACTATTACTTTTTATTTCCTATACTTTCATCTTAAGCATGGAGTCATCTCTTGGATTGTTTATTTCTTGGAGCCATTATTCTCCAAGTATAGGACTTGGTGTTAACTCTTACCTGGAACCAAGTTTTTTAACACATTCTAAATGTCCACGCCCAACCCTATAAAAATTGCATTTTGTTTCTATCGCAATATGATGTTGTTATATGTTTTGTAGACGAAGGCCATAAGTTAAGGTTTAGAAAGGGACTAATGAAAGGTTTACAATCCTTCATGTCCAATAAACCAAGAAACTTTGAAACTGCTTTTTGGAGCATAACTGTGTTACAAACATATTGGTTGTGACCTCTTGAATTCAATCTTAAATTTGGAGCACATGTCGAAACTCTCTAATCATGAATGTTTTTAATATATATATATATCAGGCGTATACTCAGAGATGATGGCAAAGGTGTTAATGAGCCACTTGGTGAAGTTGTTTGCTTGGATGGAAGTTGCAAGGGGCTCACAGTATAAATTTAGTGACAATATTGATGTTGCCTTTGTATTTTCCATTAACACCGAACTATTTATTTGACAATTGTTACTGAAACTATCTGATCTCAAAAAATGACAGGTGAGGGGAACATACTATGTCAAAGTTGACAAGCTAGGGCATGGAGCTCACTGGCGAAGAACATATGGCCAACAAGTCTATTCACCCTATCTTCTTGCTTTTACCCATGAGGTATATGGTTTTTACTATGTCTATATGATGCTTTTATGTGATTCCGCAGGTAATCATTCTTGTTATTACAGGATGAGATAAGTTGGAAATCCTATAATGTTGCCAAAGAAAGCACGATGGATGAGAATTATAGTCTTCCTGATAATGTTGCAATTATTACCTTGCAGGTATCATAATGCTCTTCATTCACTCTTAACTCATAGATAAGTTTTGGCATACATCATATTAACGACATAAAAACATTAACAAAGAGAATTGAACTTTTCAGAATCTAGATGATGGCACCACATTACTCCGCTTGGCCCATCTGTTTCAGGTGTATTAGTTTTTTATAAAATAGTGTTTTCTTTTTATTTCTACTATATAATGAATCAATAATTAATCTTTATCGAGTCTCCAGGCTTTAGAGGACCCTCAATATTCAGTGATAGCAAAAGTTGAACTAAGAAAGGTGTTCGGAAAGAGAACCGTAAGTAAAATTATTGTTGCAATTCATTCTTTTGGATGCATATTTCTCCTGCAAAATAGTTATATAGTAGTACTATATGCTGTTCCAATATGCAGATCAAGGAATTAGCTGAGACTAACCTTTCTGCCAATCAAAAGAAGTCAGAAATGAAAAAACTCAACTGGAGGGTAATCGAGAACAGTAAAAGTGATCCTATCCCATTGAAAGGTGGTCCAGTTGACAGTCAAGCTCTTGCCGTAGAACTTGGACCCATGGAGATACGCACCTTCTTGCTAAAATTCTAGATTGCATATACATAAAGTAATTGCCTAGTTTATAAAGGGGAAAATGAAACATCATTGTACAAAAGGATGAATATGTATCCTTTCAGGCCTTGTTCAGGGTTTGATGTGGATTGTGATGGATTGACTGGGATTGAACAAAATTGTAAGTTTTCTTTATCTGATACATGTACCTTCTCCATGCCAATAGCTAAAAGAATCGAACGTGACATGCTTCTAACAAGTTATATAAAAGAAAGAGAAGAGGTATATGTATAATAAGTTTCATGGGGGAACCACCCTAGAAATCATAAGCTAGGAGCCATTTGGCTCTCGTTGGTCTTCAATTGCCTAGGTAAACATGGGTACCAGTTGTACATTCTATTCTCGCCACTTCCATGCATGTATTTCTGAATTCACCCTCTTGCTAGCTAGGCTCTCATAAATCTTGATGTTGTGGGGTGTATGTTAGAACCTGATACCCCTACTTATGTGCAGTAGCTTGATATTTGAAAAGATATTGCGAGTATGACGCAATCTTGAACCATATCAAGAACGACATAGATGACTCACATAGAACATCATAGATGACGATGTTCAAGCAACCACGACAAGAGATTATGATTTGATGAAGTCGAACATCAATTTTATATATATAAGCACAACTCTAGAAGAGTATAAGTGATCTATTAATTCTTGCCTAATGCAATAATCTAGTGCAATAGAACTTTCTAGCCTATTTCTTCTTATAAACCTTGGGTAAGACCCATATGTTGACTTGTTTGATGCTTATGGCTTCTACCCATTGTTTATATAGTCCTCTCCAAGGCCCTCATACATGCAAGTAGGAGTCCTACTCCTAGTAGGATTCTACACTCAAGTTCTAATGGAAATAGAAGTCCTAATAGCACACCTCTCTTGAATCCTAGTCCAATTAGGATTTGAGTCACCATACCACAATATCCACCTTGAAATTAATCCTTTGAAGTCACCTTTCTCCTCCAAGGATTCGCTCCAAGTCGGCTCCCTTTTTATTTATACTCCCACCTTGACAGTGCCCCTACCACAAGGGCTCAACCTGTCACACACCAAAAGTTCTGATTTTGGGTTGTGAATAGAAAACACTAAATAAAATGAAAGGTTTTAATATTTGGATAAAATTTAGCAAGTTTGAACTAGCGCAAACTTAGTTATAGGAAAAATGTGAATTTTTAAAGTTCTCTAATTTTGATGGGCATTTGGATGATGTGATGTTTGCTTGTTGCTTGACTTGGTGTTGTGAGTAAGTAAAATTTTGAAAAACACGTTTAGTAAGTCTTTATCTTTCTTCGTCTTGTCTTTATCTTTTTCTATAATCAAATACCTGCTCTCTCGATCTTAATCTTTTCATTTGGATATTCTCAAGATTCTTTTCTTCTGCTCCAAAACACTTCTTTGAGTTCACCATCCATCAATCCATCTCTCAAATCTTCTCGGGAATTTTTCCTGTTTTTTGGAACTTATTCCCACTTTTCCACGAGCATAATCTAATTTCTAGATGCTCCAGAATATCTTTTCATGAGCCCCAAATACTTTATTTGGCTACCTCATGTTCCAAAAGGTCTAAGAGAATTTCTCCTAGATTTTCGGAGACTTCGGAGTATTTTTCGTGGCTTAAAAAGCAATTCTGGACTTTTCTAAAATTATTTTATTCACAAAATTAATTAATTTCGAAAATAACAAAATCTCTCATTTTACCCCGACGCTCAAAGCCCATGATCTCAAAGGCCAATGCATTTATTTACTAATGAGTTTTAATGAATATTTATGCCCATTAGTAAAAGTAGAGGGTGCAACATGGATTAATATCAAAATATATATATATATATATATATATATATATATATATATATATATATATATATATATATATATATATATATATATATATATATAGACACACACACACACCCCTTGGCCAAAGAGCGACATAACTACAATAAGAGGAGCCCAGGTTTGGGAATCTCTAATGCACTAAATTAGATTTTTCCTCCTTCTAGTACCTCGCCGTTGCTACTCAGCGATGGGGCTGGTTCTGGTTGCCTGCTTGAAGACCAGGGGCGGATCCAGCATAGGTGCATGGGGTACAGCTGTACCCCCAAAATTTTGTGAAACACGAAGTATATATATCTATAATATATTATATACCTGCTAGCACACTTTATCAAATAGCAATATCTTAAGCTCAAGTGGTCATCCGAAATAGCTTGTAGCCCTTCTATAGCCCGGGAGCCCAAAATGATTCAATACACATGACACAAGTATAAGACAAAAATGACAACAAATTAATCAGTTTTTTTAAAAGTTGACTCCTTTTCCTTCCAAACTATCATAATAATTTTAATTTGTAAGTTTGGGTCTTGATTTTGTTTAATAACCAAACAATGTTATAGGAAAAATCGTCTGTAGATTAATTGATAAATAAATAATTTTATTTTTTGTAGAATGTCATGGAAACAATGATCTTGCTTTTTTTTTGGTTAATATGCTTATGAAGACTTTGGCTAAACCTTGGTGAATTGTATCTTTAGATCCGTCTACCTAACTATTTTATTGTCATTCGGTTGTCGTATTATACCGTTAGTGAATTGCGTCATTTAGGTCTGTACCCCATGATTAAAATCCTAGATCCGCCACTGTTGAAGACTTATGTCGGTGCCTCTGGTGTTGTTGCATCATCCAAGGCTGTGTACGACTTCTATGAAAACTCTGGTGTCCGACCCATTCCGGAGTTCATCATCGCCCGGTCCGTGCTTTGTTTTTTCAGCGAAGGAACGGGCCTTCATCGTTGTCGTGCTTTGGTAAGAAATAGCGGACGATGGTTCTCTCTAATCTGTTTGCTTGTCCGGTTGCTGATCCTCTTGCTTTTGATCATGTACGCTAATCATGGAGCCTGTGTGCCATGCAAGCTCTATGTCCACATACGTGATTTACATCTGAATATCTGTCAACGCCAATTTGCTGATATCCATGTCTGCTGCGGCAGACCCGTAACGCCAGCACGAACCTCATCTGCAGTGCCTATACCTTGGTCGCCTGACTCGCAAGGTCCGCAGTCTTGAGACTCTAGCACCGGTCCGATGCAATCTGAGCTCGCCTCTGTTCTTCACCTTGGCCAAAGCGGTGCTCTGGTGCAGCACGCAGGACCATGCAGCTGCTGCTCGATCATGATGGATAGAAGATCGTGTTTTAAAAGGTGAGCTGCAACTCCAATTAATTTCCTCATAATTTTATTGGTTACCACACATTCTAGACGTCATGCTTGCATCTGAAATTACATACATTATTCATCCTGTCTCGTCAAGCTCCCATCATCTAATTCCATCTTACGTACATGGTTAATTCCATGTAAACTCATGTCATGTATCTTTCCGGTGCGGTTCACTGCTCCTCTGTTCATATTTCCATCGATCTTATTTCCTGATAATTGTTCTAAAGTTAACATGTTCACGCCGTAGCTATGTTTCAGGTTTGTTCTTTCCGCACTAGATTTGTAGAGACGTAATTTACATGTTTATAATTAAATCGATTAATGTGCTAGCAACTAGTTTCTAATTTAAAAGTCATATAGGTATATACTTCGGTGTTTTATAAACAAATATTAATATGACTAATTGCAAACATTAATATGCTTTTAAATTATAAGTTTGCTTAGTTAAACACGTATATTAAATTCAAATAGATGCTCCCACATTTTATTCCTTTTGCAAAGCAAAGTTGAAATTACTTGAATAATATGAGACATGTTTGCAAATAAATAGCTTTAACTCGACTTTTCAATTAAAATGTAAATTGACTAAATTAATATCCTTGACATGGTTTTGTAATTAAAATAAACAAAGCATATAACCTTTACTCTTATGACACAAATCTTCCGATAGTCATTTCTTTTTAACTGTAGTTCCGTTATCGGCATTCTTGTGATCTTGTGACGGTAGAGCTACTCTCTTTTAGTACGTTGTTTTTGTCTCGAGTGGTGTACCGCTCTTAGTCATGTCTCTATTTGTTTGCTTGTATGTTTGTTGGTGTGCTATGATTTGCGAGTAGAAGAGCTGTCCGTAAGTGCCGGAGACCGAAAGAACAAATGATCAAAGGTTCTACGAGGAGTTGACCATTAGTTGTAAAGCACGTGAAAGGCAAGTATAGCATGGGATCATCCTTGTTGTTCTATTCACTTTAATCACTTAAATTCATACTGCATGTGTTTCCTTATTACCGTTAAGGATTACCTAGCTTTGAATTTATACCTTGTCACCCTTAGATTAATGCATTGGATAGTATAAAGCTAGTGCTCCACCTAAACCATGATCTTGTAAATTGACTAAGGGTATATGAAATAAAAGTTAAAATATGATTTTTAGAAATTTGGCTTAAGAGGGCTGGAGCATTGGGTTTTATGGTGCTCTAGATTCCTCTCCCTAAGGACTTAGCTGTAAGTGATTATCCGGGACTTACAATACAACTGTGAGGGTTACATGGCTCTGGTTTTAGTCAAGTATGAGGACCTTTTCTAATTTGTTAGTGGTTACATTTATGGCACAAAAGGGGCTTGACGAATTGGATATAGTGCGGCCTATGTCCTTATGTGTATAGCCTGCGCGGAATGTGCCATTTGAAAGGAAAGCCCTACATCTGTTTGCCAATTAGAATCCTAGTGACCCTAACTTGTTAGACGAACCTTGAAAGACTTCATAGTGAACCCTGCATACTCACCTTGGAAGTGTTTTGAGAGTTATAAACCCGGACATATGGGTAATCACAACTCACAATGAAAGTGTACAACCTCCATAGAGTGTAAAACTGGTATATCAGTCGTGCTCACGGACACGAGCGGCCTTAGAACATTTACAAAATAGATGATCATTAATGGATAATTGTTTATGCTATTTATTATTCATGTTTACCTGATCACATGTTTGTATGGGCTGGTGATAAACTTGAAGCTACTCAATTGCTAAAAACATGACTCACTAAAAGCTAATTGC